CTGGGACTGTTTTTGGGAACTCATGAAGCTGCTTTTCTCACTTGCCAGCGGGTGTGTGTGCGCGTGTGTGTGTATGTGTGTGTGTGGTATGGGCACGTGGCTCCACCCTCCCAGGTCCACAGCCCTCCCTGAGGTCACAGGGCGGTTCTCACTGCAGGTAAGCCTGCCTGTACCCTGCTCCACTGGCTTCGGGCTGGGCCCTTGGCCTGGTGTTCAAGGCCACCCCCCCCCACACTGTCTGGCCAGCGGTGTCCAGCCCTGGACAGATGGTGGCCTGGTGGGCATGAAGATGCTTGTGGCCTGGGGCTCCACGCAGCCTCTGGGGAAGGAGGCCAGCAGGGCAGCCTCGATGCCAGCTCCGGCTGCTTGTTGGGCCCCAGATCACATTCTGAGCTCTCTTCTAGAGGGAGTGGCCTGGGCCCTCCCAGGGGACCAGAGTCCTGGGGGGCTGCAGAAGCTGATGTGTCTGTCGCTTGCCGTAGGCCCTTGGGGTGGACCACGCTTAGCCTCACCCGCTTCAGCTTCCAGAGACGGTGGCGGCCTGGGCAGGTGGGTGGGGGCTCAGCACAGGGGCCACCTGGGCCCGCGCGGGTGCGGGGTCCGCGGGTGCGGGCCTGGGGGCAGGGCGGGGCGCAGGGGGCCGTGCGGCTGTGTTCTCCATGCTGGGCCCCGGCCCTGCCTTCCGGTTTAGGGGATTACAGGGGCGGGGCCCCCAGAGCCCAGAAGCCTCTGCTGTCCAGGACGCCCAGCTGCCCGAAACCTCCAGGGTGCAGCCATCAGTCAGCGGGGATGTGGCGTGGCGTCCCGAGTGAGGGGCACCGGCACTCAGCCCCCACCTGCAGGACCCGTGGTTGGGGTGGGGATGGGGGCTCCCAGGGTAGTCGAGGGCCTGGTGAGCTTGGCTTGGGGGTGCTGGGGGTGAGGCCGCCCCGCCCCGCCCGTCGGCCTGCTATACTAGGCTTGGAGGTGGGAGTGCGGTGAGCCCGATGGGGGGGCCCTGTGCTCGGCTCTGACTTGCGGGTCTTGCGTTGCAGCTGCTGCAGCGGCTGGAGACGGAGAACGCGCGGCTGGAGGCAGCCCTGGAGTGGCGGCACCGGGAGCTGGTCTTCTGGCGGTGGATGGTCAGGAGGCACCCCCCGCCTGCCCTCCCCTCCCCTCCCCTGCCCTCCCCCTCCTCCTCTGCCCTCCCCTCCTCTCCTCTGCCCTCCCCTCTCCTGTCCTCCACTCCCTTCCCCTGCCCTCTCCTCCCCTCCCCTGCCCTCCCCTCTCCTCTGCCCTCCCCTCCTCTCCTCTGCCCTCCCCTGCCCTCCCCTCTCCTGTCCTCCCCTCCCCTGCCCTGCCCTGCCCTGCCCTGCCCTGCCCTGCCCTACCCTCCCCTCCCATCCCTGCCTGGCCCTGGCCACGGCAGCCTTGGGCCTTCGGGGTCTTCCCATTCTCCAGGCAAGAAGAGAGGTCTCGGGGACACCCCCTCGCCCAACTCTGAAGCCGGTTTTTCACCTGGGCCTTGGATTTCGAGTATGGGGTTCTTTTCAGACATCTGTCTGTCCCATCTCCACCCTTCCCAGCTCCTGGGGAGATGCAGACTCCTCAGAGGGTCTCAGCCTTCTGGAAGTTTGGCCTCTGTGCGTCCTTGGCCTCCAGGCCCCCCGGGGTAAAGGTCGCTGTGTAGCCCTCTCTGTGACCTTGGGGAAGGAGCTGAGCCCTGCTCTCTTCCCCACTGGCTGGGGAACCCGGCCCGTGATCGAGACCTGGGCCTGCCACCCTCCTTCTCACTGAGGTCTCTCCCTGCAGGACACAGTCCTGGACACCTGCCCCCTGGAGGCCTCACCGCCCACGTTTCTGCCTAGGATCCCCGAGCCAGGGGCTGGAGCGGCGGGGCTGCCGGTGCGGGAGCTGCAGGCCTTGCAGGAGGAGCTGCAGGCCTTGCAGGAGGAGCTGCGGGAGGCTGTGGAGGCCCGGCGGGCCACCTGGCAGGCTGCGGTGAGAGCTGGTTGCAGGCCTGGGCCACTTGACTGTGGACTTCCATGCTGGGTTGCCCCGTCTGGAAGACATGGGCTCACCTGCCAGACTCCCCGGTGCCCCACCCTGGCCATCCTGTTGGATGTCTGGAGTGCTGGGTGGGGCTGGGGGTGGGCTCCCTGGGTCTGTGCCCTGGGCTCTGAGCAGGCCCCCGGGACTCGGCCTGAAGGCAGCAGCCAGGCCCAGTCCCCCACCACACCTCAGGGTGAAGCTGGGCCCGAGGCAGGGTGGTCTTGAGGGCTCGGGGCTGTGGAGGTGCTCAGGCTGCGGGCCGTGTCCCAGGGCCCAGCACCCCCAGCTTGGGGCTCAGGTGCTCGATGAAGGTGAGAGCCTGGAGGGGCTGGGCCTTGGCACCGACTTGGGGAGTCCTCCCGCCCTGGGAGCAGTGATGTCTAGGCAACGGGAGGGGCTGCGCGGGGCTGGGGGCGGGGGTCAGGCTCAGTGAGAGCCAAGGGGCCCGGGGCCATGTCCTGGTGGACGGGGCGCCCTTGGCTCACTTGACGCTCTCTCCTGTGCAGGTTGGCGGCCACGGGCCCGAGTGGAGAGCCGCGAGGCGGGCCCTGCAGGTGGCCGTGGCGCAGGACCTGGCAGCCTTGCAGTGGGCCTGGGAGCAGGGCAAGGGCCAGGCCCGGCCCCACGGGCCCCGCCGGCTGGTGAGGACTGAGGCCAGGGTGCCTGGCAGGCCAGGCCTGTGGGCCACCGAGGCGACGGAGGCGCTCAGGGCCCGGGAGGTCTGCCTGGAGGCGATGCTGCGCCAGCTGCAGGGCCAGTGTCGGCAGGAGCTGGCCAGGCTGGTGGGAGCGCGGCCCGGCCTCATCTGGGTCCCGCCGCCCGCACGCTGAGTGCCGCAGGCGCCCCCGTGTCCGGGCTGGGCCTTGGATGGGCAGGATCCATCCTCAGCGGCGCAGGCTCTGGGCCCCGGGCCCCACCTTGGGCAGAGCATGCCTGTGCCCTCCAGGCCTGGGGCAGGCCCGGGCTGTGCCCCTGAGAAGGTTGTGACAGCCCACAGTGGTGCCATGGGCGTCAGGCCTCGGTGAGGACTCGGAGGAACGCCGTGGAGGCCTGTTGGCAGAGCCGAGGCTCCAGCTGGCCTCTGTCTGGGGAAAGGGGCACCCCTCAGACCCGGGGAGTGCCCCTGGTCAGGCTGGCGAGGCGGGGCTGGCCCGGGGCTGCCCAGGTGCAGGACAGATGGGCAGGGCCTGCAGCGCGGGGTGGGTGTTGGGCAGTGCGCCCTGGGTGCCCCTGCACACCCCACCGGGGCCAGCCTGTGCCTGGGACATGTGTGATGAGAGCCCTGGGGGGGGTTCTGCTCTGTCCCTGGGGGTGGTGCCCAGGGGCCCGGGAGGGAGGCCAGTGCGGACAGAGGGGCTTTGTTTTCTAGGCCGCAAGGGAGCGGGGCCTAGCTTGACAAAGAGCCATCTGTCTGTGGACGTCCCGCCAGCCCTGTCAGAGCTGGCCTGTCCCTGTCCTGGGAGACTGGTTTCTTGCGCCCACGCCCCGCCCCCGTGGGCACAGGCGAGGCCCGGCCTCCTGGGCCAGGCTGCCCTCTCCCCGGGCACTGGACCCCGACCTGCCGCTGGTTGGCTCAGGCCCCGGCCCCCGGGCCCCCCAGAGTACGTTCTCATTGGCACATCCCCCACACCCGGGGGCACCCGCTGGTCTGGGCCTTTGTCCGGGGTGGGGGCACACCCATGGCGCCTCTGCACTGGCCTCTGGCGCATCGGCCAGACCTGGCAGCGGTGAGCGGACGCCCCTGTGAGGACCGCCTGTCTGACCCTACCTCGTGGCCGGCCCCTGGGTTCTCTGCACCCCCTCCCTGGCTGGAGCCCTCCCGCCAAGGCCGTGGCTCCTAGCTGCCTGCAGTTGGGGTCCAGGTACCTGACCCAGGCCCTCCGCCTCGGGTGTTGAGGCCACTTCTCGTCTTCCTGCCACCGCCCTCCTCCCTGCCGGATGGGAACAAGTCCACGGAAGGACTCCCTGCCTCCTGTGGACTCCCCAAGGCTGTGAGGGCCACGGCCTTCGGGGACCTGAGCTTTAGAAACGCAAGTGGAAACTCAGTGCCTTGGGGCTGTCACTCCCCCGCTGACCCTCCAGCCTAGTACAGTTCAGCCAGAAGCCCTGTGTGTCCATGTGTCCATGGGACTCGGGGCGCTGATCCTGAAACACGAGGTGGACCAGCCTGAGAGGCCAGGCTGGTGGGCGGCGGGGCCCCTGGGGTCGGGCTCCTCCTGCTGCCATAATAAGTGAGCGTGGTCCTGATCCAGCCTCTTCGGGGGGCTGAGGTCCAGTGGGCAGGCAGGAGGCCCCGGAGAATCTGCCCTGGGCCTCAGTCCTCACAGGCTCCTTCTCTGACCCTCCGCTGCCTCTCCACGTCTGCACTCCCCCTGGTCTGCCGGCCACCAGAGTCCCCTTCTGTGTGTGACGTGACAGGTTCAGAGGCCTGACCCCAGGGCTCAGACCCTGCCTGGCCCCGCGTGGGGCAGCGCAGGCCCACGTGTGCCCTGGAGCCGACCTGGCTGCTCCACCCGCAGACACAGCCCTGCAGGAGGCGGGCACGCCACGCCCCGCTCAGTGGGGAGTCGGCATGGAGGCGGAGGCCTGGTCACTGAAAGAAGCCGGAGCTGCAGCTCGTTGTGACACCTGCCTGTGTCAAGGCTGGAGTGGAGCGGATGGTGCTGTCTGTCCAGGGGCCCCAGAGGAGAGGAAACAGGTGATCAGATGAATGACCAGACAATCGCCTTCACTGTAACCAGGGACGACGGGCAGGGCCGCCTGTGGGTGAGGGGGAGTGGGGCACTTGGATTCGAACCGCGCCCCCCCCAAAGCCCCCTCAGGCACGCCTTTCGAGGTGGGCGTCCCACTGTCGCCAAGGGGAGAGGCAGGGAGCGAGGGTCATGGCAGCAGGCCCCCTGCCGAGGCCTCCTGGGGTCCAGGGTCCAAAGATCCGAGTCCTCTAGAAAACAGAGCACGCCCCAGGAGACATGCAGGAGACCCTCGAGAAGAACAGCCGTGGCTCGGGCAGGGAGGGCCCGCACCCGTGGGGCCTCGCTGGCGGCCCCGCCGTGAAGACCCCGTGCTGCTGCTGCAGGGCGGGCTGGTTCTGCCCCTGGTCGAGGACCCAAGATCCTAGCGTGATGCGGCCAAAAAAAGGCGCTGATCACGCACGCGTGACCTTGGGGACGTGCAGCTCTAGGGTCCCACTCGCCCCAGAGGGCAGGGCCTCAGAAGGCAGGGCGGGGGCCCGGGGGCCCCCCGCGCCCAGACTCTCACCCCCGCTGCTCCGTCTCCGTGGTCCTCCGGGCGCTGGGCCTCCCTGTCTACTGGCCCCCTCCCTCACCTTATTGGCACTGGTTGACCTTGGCCTGGGGACGTGGCTGGCTAGTCAGGACCACAGGCCCCCAGATGCCCTTCCCTGTGACCTGAGGGTGTCCCCGGGTCCCACTGAAGTCCAGGTGCGGGTGGGCATGAGCATCTCAGAGCGGCATGTAGGAGATAGTCCCTGCCGGCGGGGCCCAGCTGGCCACCCGTGTCCTCCCCATGGGCGTGGCCGCTGCCCACGAGGTGCCTGTGAGCTCTGGGGCCTCAGCTGGTTCCTGGTTGACGAGTGCGGCTGGGCACCGGGCTCTCTGCTTGGCGGGGCTGGGCTGACTCTCCACTTGTCCGGCAGCCAGGACCACTGCGGTGCCCGTGTGCCTGCCCTGGGGCCACCCCTGGTACCTGGGGGAGAGCGGACACCCAGATGAACCTGCATAAGGGGCGGGGGCCGCGCCGTGCGGGGTGGAGAGGCCCGAGGTGACAGCGGTGGTCAGAGCAGGCCTGCCCGGGGTGAGGGCAGGGAGGGAGGGGGGACCAGGGGGAGGACAGGGTGCTGCGCTTCCTGTCCAGGAGCGGGGTCAGGAAACGGGGTGCCTCCGGGGAGGCTGCGTGGGAGAGGCACGGACTGCAGGCTCTCGTGTCTCTGGCGGGGGGCACCCTGTCTAGGGCCGGGTCCTGTCTTGGTTCTGAACAGCCCCTCTGCCTCGGGTGGGGAGGGTCTGGGGCTCAGTGAGGGGTGGGTGAGGTCAGGCTGGCGCCTGGGGTCTGTGGGGCCCCTCTTGGCCGTGGGGCATGTCCGCTGGCGGCTCCTCTGGAAAGCCGTTTTTCCTCTTAGAACCTCTCTCTCTCTCTTTTTGGTGGCGCTGTGTCTCCACTGCGGCTGTCTGTTTGGGGCGCCAGGGCTCGGTTGTGGTGTGTGGGACCAGAGATCCCAGCGAGGGGCCGCATCGGTCCCCCTGCACTGGGCGTGTGCAGTCTCACGCACTTGGCCGGCAGAGCATTCCCTGTCCCAGTCTTTATTTACAAGTCCCGCCTCTCCCCTTCCCACTTAGGGACGTTTTTAAATTGTGAAAAACACATCACTGAATTTGCCATCTTAATCTGCCTGCCAATGCAGGAGACACCGGAGACACAGGTTCAACCCCTGGGTGGGGAAGATCCCCCGGAGAAGGGAACGGCAACCTACTCCAGTGTTCTTGCCTGGAGACTCCCAGGGACAGAGGAGCCTGGCGAGCTACAGTCCATGGGGTCGCAAAAAGAGTTAGATACAATTGAACGTGAACACAAAATCATTTTTTAAAAATTGAAATATAGTAGATTTACAATACTGTTAGTTTTGGCTATATAGCAAAATGATTCAATTATATATATATATATATTTCAGATTCTTTTCCATGGCTTCCCACGTGGCTCAGTTGGTAAAGTGTCTGCCTGCAATGCGGGAGACCTGGGTTCAATATCTGGGTCGGGAAGATTCCCTGGAGAAGGAAATGGCAACCTACTCCAGTACTCTTGCCTGGAAAATTCCATGGGCGGAGGAGCCTGGTAGGCTACAGTCCATGTGGTCACAAGGAGTCGGACACGACTTCGCGACTTCGCTTTTTTCCCCATGAGATAGTGACTGTATTTCCCTGTGTCTTTCCCTAAGTCTTTGTTGCCTATCTGTTTCACGTTTACTATACTGTATCTTTAATACCATGAAAGTGAAAATGTTAGTCGCTCTGCTGTGTCTGACTGTGGCCCCAGGCTCCTCTGTCCTTGGGATTCTCCAGGCAAGAGGACTGGAGAGGGTTGCTGTTTCCTCCTCAATGGGGTATCAACCCCATATTCCCGATTGATTCTTCCCTACCCCGTTTGCCCTTCTGTAACCATAAGTTTTTTTTTTTTCTATGTCTGTGAGTCTGTTTCTTCTTTTTTTAAAATTAATTGATTAACGACTTTTGGCTTCCCTGGGCCTCCGCTGCTCTGTTCAGGCTTCCTCTAGTTGTGGCGGGGGGCTGGCCTTTTGTGCGGTGCTCCGGCTTCTCACTGCAGCGGCTTTTCTCCTGGAGCACGGGCTCTAGGTTCACGGGCTTCAGTAGTTGTGGCTTACGGGCTTAGCTGCTCGGCAGCATGTGGAATCCTCCCAGATCAGGGATCGCACCCCTGTCCCTTGCACTGGCAGTCAGACTCCCAACCACTTGACCACCAGGGAAGTCCTGAGTCTATTTCTGTTTTGTAAATAAATTCATCTGTATCATTTTTTAGTTTCCTTCTGTAAATGATAAATAATATTAATATTTCTCTTTCTCTTTGTGACTTACTTCTCTTAGTGTTATAATGTCTAGGTCCACCCATGTTGCTAAAAGTGGCATTATTTCATTCTTTTTTATGCTATCCTAACCATTTATTTTCAGATCGAATGCTGACACCTGAATTAATTGATCCATGTGGATTTTTGCCTGATGTTTGCTGACTCTCAAAAATTTGTTTGCAGGAGTTCCTTGAAAATTCGACATATGAATACCTCATTGGTTTTACACATTACAGATATCTTCTCCATTCTGTCCCCTCATACCTTAGTTGATAAAGAATCTGCCTGCAATACAGGAGACTCCAGTTCAATCCCTGGGATGGGAAGATCCCTTGGAGAAGGGAAAGGCTACCCACTCCAGTATTCTGGCCTGGAGAATTCCATGGACTGCTTGGACAGGGTCGCAAAGAGTTGGACATGACTGAGCGACTTTCACTTTCACTTTCCATTCTGTCATTGGCTAAAAATTTGCTCATGGTTTCCCTTTGTTGAATAGAAAATTTAAATTTTGTTTTAATTGAATTATGTTTTTGCCTCTTGCTTTTTATAGTTAGCATTTGAAGACGTGCTTGTGTCTCGTGTCATTCTCCGCATTTCCTTCTGTCAGTTTTTGCTTCATTCCATCCAGAGTTCACCTCTGTGTGTGGAATCAGGCAGGAATCCAGATCTCTTGCATGCAGTGAGTCAGTTTCCAATACCGTCTACACACAAGCCTACCCTGTCCTGGATTTGTGCTGTCAGCTTCTCCACACTCAGCCCCCTTCTCCTCCTCCGGGCGGTTCATGCACCAGTACCATGCCGCTTTCAGCGCCCTGTGCTTCGTCAGGGTTCACCCTTAGGAGCAGAACCAGTAGAGGTTCTAAACGAAGAGATGCGCTGTCTGCGGTTGCTGGTGTAGGAAGATCCTGTGGTGACGGTAGCTTCATTGTGGCCATCTGGCTAACGCTTACCAATCAGCATGGCGGTCCTGTTCTTAGTCTTCAAGGGCACACAGCTAAGGCTTCCCCGTCAAGAACAGTGCGTCTCTGCTCTTCTGGTACTTAACTTTTTACAACTTTTAGGAAGTTTCTTCCACTCTTATTTTCCTAAGAGCCTTTTTAGAATCATAACTATCAAATGCTTTATCTTCATTAATTAAGACAGTCATATGATTTTCTCCTTTATCATGACGAATTACATTATATTAATACTTCGGCACCCCTTCCAAAGTCAAACCACCCTTGCATTCCTGTGAGAAGTCCTGTTTGATCACGATGCTGTTAACATTTAAATATGCAGTTGGTTTTGGTTAGGTATAATTTTATTTAGAACATTTATATCAATACTCGAGGGGAAATGGGCCTATGACTTTCTTCTCTTTTTTTCTTTGTATTTCCCTTATTATATTTTGGAATCAAGGTTACATTGGCCTCATCATAGCCTCTGCCATCTATTTTTTGGAATAACTTATTAAGATAGGAATTAATTATGCCTTGAAACTTTTTTCTTAGTCACACTGTGTAGCACTCAGGCTGTTAGTTCCTTGACCAGGGATTGAACCTGTGCCCCCTGCACTGGGAGTGTGGAGTCTTTTTTTTTTTAAGATTTATTTATTTGGCTGCACTGGATCTTCACTGCTGTGCACGAGCGTCCTCTGGTTGTGGCATGCAGGAGCGACTCTGTTGCCACATGCAGGCGTCGCATTGCATGGTGGGCTTATCTGTTGTGGAGTGTGAGCTCTAGGCGTATGGGCTCAGTCGTTTGTAGCAATCGGGTTTAGTTGCCCTGTGGCATGTGGGATCTTCCCAGACCAGGGATCAAACCCATTACCCCTGCACTGGCAGGTGGATCCTTAACCACTAGACCACCAGGGAAGGCCTGGAAATGTGGAGTCTTAACCATTGGGCCAGGGAAGTCCTGAACTTGACTTTTACCGAGTAAAGGTTTTTTATTTTGATGAGGTCCAATCATTTTATCTCTTGTGGGCTGTGCTTTTGGTGTCATGTTTTTTTTTTTTTTTTTTACCAGTCCCAGGTCATGAAGATTTCCTTTTATGTTTCCTTCTGCAAATTTATAGTTTTTACATTTAGACATACCAACCACTTTGTGTTAATTTTTGTGTTAGATATTAGGCTACTTTAAGGATTTTTTTTTTTTTTTGGCATATGAATGTCCGGTTAGTGAAAATTCTATCCCTTCTCTGTCGAATCACCTTCACACCTTAGTTAGAGCTTACTGGTCGTGTCAGCAAAGCAGGGGTGGAAAGGACCTTCCCCAGGCTGATGACAGGTATCTGCCACTTTCGAGAGACTTGTATCCAAAACACAGAAAGAAGTCCCTCCTACAACTCAACAGTAAGAGCACCACAGTACAATGGAAAAATGGGCAGCGGATTTGAACAGATGTTTCTCCAAAGAAGATACACACTTGAGCAGTAAGCACATGATGGGATGCCCAGCATCATGAGCCACAATGGAAAAAGCAACTCCAACTATGAGGAAATAGATACTCCTTCACCCATAGGGTGGCTGTGATAAAAAATACTGACAGGTAGCAATCACTGGGGAAAATGTGAAGAAATTGGAACCCTTTTATATTGCTGGTGAGAATGTAAAACAGCCTGAAAAACAGCACTTCCTCAAATTGTTAAACATGGAGTTACCTCATGACCCAGAAATTCTACTCCTAGGTATACACTCAAGAGAAAAGAAGACACAGGTCCACATAAAATCTTGTTCAGAAAAAAATCTTGTACAAAGTGTCCATTGCAATATTATTTATAACCAAAAAGTGGGAACAACATAAATGTTCAACTGATAAATAGATAATAAAATAAATCTGGAGTAAATAATGGAAGGTTACTTGGCAATAAAAAAGACTAAAGTAATGACAGACTCATTTGCTTTGTGAATTAAGTCACAAAAGACCACACTGTATGATTTTATTAGCATGAAATGTCCAGAATAGGCAAATCTAAGGAATAGATTAGTGGTTGCCTAAAGTTTGGGAAATTGGGAAATAATCGGGGATTGATTGCTAAGTCTGGGGCTTCTTTTTGGGGGTGATGAAAATGCTCTAAGATTAGGACGTGTGAATATACTAAAAAACCTTGAATTGTAAACTTCAAATGTGTGAATTGCATAGTATGTGAATTAA